AAACAAAGGTCCTTCTTTCTGTGATACTTAATGTCTGTCCAGTCTGAATGGTGCTGTGATTGAGCACTTAAACATATCTGTGGATACATCTACAGACTGATATTAGTCTAAGTGAATAACTAACATGGTAGATATTGTTTTTAATGTAAAATGGCATGTCATAACTCCCACTGGTACGACAGTAATTTGCCACCACTTTCAGTATCATTTACCACATATGGTTTTGTTTTTGCATGTGATCCTCTGGGAGAAAGTAATGGTTCTGTGAACGGCTGTCATGCTATAATTTTCTGTATGAAATGATTTGTATCTACAGGAAAGTAGGTCTAACTGTTATTATTAATATGCTCAAATAGATTTCACCATTTTCTTCAGCCTCTAAATTATCAACTTTAAATGTACAGCGTATTAAGTTTGTATTAAGTTACTCCAAGGAACTTTTATTTACAACATATAGTCTCGAGGTACAGCACAGCAAAGGTCTGACCTGATGTGAAACTCAACGTTACATCTCCGTCCTTCACTGAACCAACAAACTGGTGAAGTCACAATGTTTTTATTCTTTTATTTTCTCATTCTTCTCTGCTTCTTCTCATCTTCGTGGATCTGCTCTCACAGAACAACGTGTAACACTTTGACTTGTGTTTCATGAGAAAATGCTCCCATGGACCTCTGAAATGTGTCAAACATGCTTCTCTACTTTAAAGGACATTGTTTTGATTACTTTCAGCCCAGGTTTATTTTTTTGGTACTTTTCTGAAAGCTTTTCGAAGTGTCAGTGGACCTGACTCTAGTTTATTTTGATAAATGTGACCCTGGAGTGAGCTGTGTTGAGGCATAGACTTTCATGAAGGCTAGCTGTTTGAAAGAGATGAGAGTTTAGATTTTTGTTCACGTCAGGCTGAATTGAAAACAAGACTATGGAGAGATGTTTCTTTTCACATCTGACTTGGTGAATTAAGGGTTTATTTAGACCAAAGATTGTTGGAGCAGTGGAAAGACTAAAAAAACTGTTGATGTTTTATTTTGTTTCTGTCGAGTTTGAATGTATGTTACGATCATCAGTGAGGTAAAAATACTGTTGTCTGACTGAAGTCTGGTAGCTTTGAGGAGAGCATATTAATTGCATGTTAATCAATTAGAAGTGTGTTTTTAGGACGGCTAACAGCCCATTTGTGTCTAGTTTACTGTGTTAGCATGCTAGCAGTTGCTTATTAACCTACTAAGAACCAAAGTGTTGGACGGAATGACGAACAAACATGGCCATCCCTAGAGCCACTCTGCTAGTGTGGCTAAAAACAACATTTCTTATGTTATTTAGTTGATTATAATGATTGTCTGTACTTTTTATCAGTGCTAACAATACTTCAACAATACTTTTTTGATGCCGAAAATCCCTCATTAGACACGTCAGACAAAAATACAACTGTTCTGTTATCAGTGAACATATTCACATTATTCTCAGTATGTAATATTCGCAGCCTCGTCTAAATGTAGAAGGACTCAGTTTACCTGCCGGCACCATGGTTACAGACTTTACCTCAGATCAGTGAAATCCAAACCAAGCTTTGCCTGTTAATGTCTGCTGGTCTTGATGAACACATTATTTAATCAGCTGTAAAATACCAGACATACTGCACATGGAAGGATTTATTTCTCTCGTCCAGAGTATGTGCTCCTGCGTGCTTATTAAAAAGGCCCCAGAAGTCGAACCTACTTCATATCTAACTATGCTTTGGTCTGACATACAGGTGGTGAAGTCTACTGTATGTGACCTCGATCTCCTGTCTTTTTCCTGCTTCGTCTCTCAGGAGCGATGAGAATAAATTAACCAATAAATGGGTTTGTGCAGCTGGTCCTCGTTGCGGTTCTCTAAGTCAAATCTCTCTTTTACAGTTACTGCTGGTGTTTTCAGTTCAGAAAAATCTCTGTTACTGCAAAGTGTAGCTGTTATAATAATAAGTTTATTTAGTACAGCACCTCTCATAGAAAATTCACAAAGTGCTTTACAAGAATAAAATATGAATAAAAGATTAGAAAAGAATGAAATAAAAAACATAAAACAGTAAAAGCAAAAATAAAACATGTTGAAACCACACAAAATTACAAACACAAAGGCCAGTTTAATTTGTTGTATATTATTGGTATGAAGTTTTTTACGAAACGAGAGAACTGATGTGCAGAAAAACTCAAGTTTGATGAACATAACAAACAACGCTTATTACAGTTTTCCCCTTAAACGCTTGAAATATGTCTTTGGAAGTGAAATGGAAAAAATCCTGAAGTGGATACTTTTTTGAAACCGAGATAGGACATGAATAAGTTTTTCCTGCTGTGTCCCTGTAAGACGAGAATGGAGAGAAGTTTCCAGAACTGTGAACCTGTGCCTGTTACTCCAGCGCTGCTGACTGATCGGACTGATCTGACGTTACTATAACAGAGGCCAGTGGTGGAATAACAGCTGTTCCCTTCATACAGGTATTGAAAACACAGCTGGATCCAGAGGAGGAGGCAATACAACTGATACACAGGAAATCAATTTTCCAGATTTTAACAATCACTAAATCATGACCATGGCTCGGCCGCGCACGCTTTAAAGGCATGTTAGTGCACGTGAGCATTGCTTTAAGAGATATGTCCTGCACTTTGTTTTGTACTTGTGAGTGTGAGAGGAGTGGAAATTCCTTCATGAAAAGTCAAGAGAATTCATCCTCTGGGAACCATGCATGTCTACATCAGTTTAAAATAATCAATCCAATAGTTTTGGGATTTAGACTCAGAGACTGACCCACATCCCCAGTTCATGGCATGTTTTCAAAACAGTGAGCAGTCATGCAAAGTGTATGTGATTTGCAGTAAATGGGCTAAAACAGGCAAACACACCATTATGGTCCTTTGAGAGTCTCCAAATATAGAACCAAAGGTCAGTCCTCCCTGATACAGCACAATCAGCCTTTACATAAATGTTCTCCAGCACATGGTAAACACATTTTTTTGACTTCCATATGCACACAAGCCATCAGGTGTTTGTGTTTCATTAGCAAAGGAAAAGCCAAGAGGAGTGAAGCTTAGTAAAGAGGCGTCTCAGTGGGAAGTGGCTGTAATCTGAAGCTGCAGGAAATGGGAGTGAGAAAAGCAATAAGATTTTGCGTTAAGGCACAAAGAAAGAGGCAAGTCAGACCTTAATCAGTGTCACGACATTCAGCGGGTGGACCGTCAACGCTGCTCACACGAGATTAGTTTGAGGTCGACTTGATTACAGGATTTCTTCAAAGGTCCACTTGAGCATTTGGCTCTGAATTTAAGAGACTCAATTTGGATCCGCAGCATTTATCTTTCGGAAAAAACAACAACAACATAGATTTTGTTTTTCATATTTCCAAATGCACATGTCCAATCATTGTAGCCAGGCAATATGGAAAACAGAGTAAATTGTTCTTCAATAACCCGTATCTTTACAAAATCAAGCCTGCTGGTCAAAAATAGAGCTCAATGAGCTCAAAATCAACAGGTCTGGGTTTGTTTCCCACAGGCAGCACATATGAACCTGCACTTCATATATGTCAGAGGTTAACTGGAGCAGACACAGTTACTGCTGGTGGACACAAGCAACAAGGGAGAAGCATAGAGATGATATATTTTAGGAATAATACTGTACAGTGTCTGACATGAGATTGAACAGCGTGTGAATGAAGGCCTGTACTGTATTCCAGTCTTGTCCCATTGACCAGACCGCCGAGCAGCATGCTGCTGATCCTTCTGTTATTTCAATGGGGAAACGTCAGGAAAATGTTGTTTTTGGCTGCTGACGAAGACCGGGAAGTGTCTGATACACACAGATACACACACTGATATGTCTCTCTGGGAAAATTCCCACACTGGTCTGGTAGTTTTGTTTTGTGTCATGTATATTTGGGTTTAGATAACCCTGCTTTGTTGATGGCTTTTAGGATTTACATTTGAGTTGTAGCAAAATGCATGTCACCTGCACTACAATAAAGATATAAAGCAGCTAAAAAAACCACATAGCATTTGGAAAACTTAAACTAAACTTAGAGGTTCTCATATGATATTCAAAGTATATATATATCACTTGATTTCTAGATTTTTCTCTGTACTTACATCAAATTTGCTGTACATTTCTGTTACATAAGACAACATGGTGTGAACAATAAAACTAACCTCAGTTATACAGTATAACACAGACTTTGAGCTGCAGTAAAAGTACCCCAGCTGGTTTCTCCAAGTAGTTAACTGTGCCTTGAATCAGATAGCTACACTAAGCTGTTTAAGTGAAGCAAACTACTGGATACTTTTGCTATAATGTGTGTGAAAACTGAACACATCCTTGTCCCACTGTCAACATTTAATAAGAATAGTTGCATGTGAAGTCACTAAGGTGGTATGCATTTACTTGTTTATCTGGGTTTCTTTTTTTAAACTCTACATCACAAATAAAATGTGCACGGAAACGAGTTTAAACTGGCTGCTTTGCTCGGCTGTTGGACTCAGTGGTCAGTCGGAGGCGGCTGGTTGGCGCTGCGTCTGTGCAGCTGAAGTCATGTCTGTGACTCAGTGCCTCAACTTCTCTTTCTCCCCTTCCACCATCATTTCTTCATGCATCATTTCTTCCTACAATTAGTGTGTATTTTTGAAATGATAAAGTTAGATAAAAAATCATTTTAATTGCATATGAACTGAAGCTATTCTCTCTTGCATGGTTGATATAGAAATATCACTACTGTTAGAATTTAATAGGCCTTCTCTCATAGAGTGATAAAGCACCAAATAAATGGAAATTTCAGTTTGGTGGCAATTATTGTGTCTTTTATTGAGTGAAATAAAAAAACACGCTTCCAATTAAACTCTTATTTTCCCCTTGTATATGCAAGCAAATGCTTGGTTCCCATGAATACAGAGGAGTAAATATAAAATAAAATGTTTTCCTCATGCTAACATACTGAGTTTGCGTGACCTGCTGTGTCCATCTTGTCTTTCAG